TCCCTGCTCTGGACAACCCCCCCCCCCCCCAAAAAAAAAAAAAACATGGGTTGGGGTAAGTATCTGGGTCACCCGCAGGGAAAAGAGGACGCAGTTTGTGATCTTGGCTTGGAGAATTCCAAGGTTCCATTTCTATCCTGGCTAGTTTTAGGCACAGCATGGTTTTGGGATCCCCGGATTTTCCACGTGGAAAAAGGGATCCCCAGATCTTTATCCTCCCTGTCCTGGCAGGCTGCGGGCATGACCCCGTCTCCAGATGCCAGCTGCATCCGAGGGCTCACCCGCCGGGCCTCGTCTTCTCCATCCTCTGCTTCTCAACCCCAGATGTTCCCAAATTTTGTTCCAGACCATCGAGGGGCATCTGTGCTGGGGGGGGGGACCAGCCAGGGCTGCCCCCGGCCCTTTCAGAAAGTCAAGTGTGCCGTTCCCAGCTGGAATGCAAATTTCTGAATGTCTGTTTAAGCCCCGTCTCCACTCAGTCGCCATGCAGCTGACCTCGAGAGCGAGGGAGACCTGCCTCGCGGGGACAGATGGGGCCGCCCCCCACCCCGGCTCCCAAACTCCATCCTGTTCTCTTTCTGAAGCGATCTGCTTCCAGAGACTGCTCCTGGTCCCAAATCCGAGGCCGCCGAGCTCCGTCTGGAGAAGACCTCTCCCTATCCGCCAGAGAGGGATTCTTCTCAGCATCTATCACCTGTGTTCCTTTGTCCCCAGGCCCGTGGGTCACGGGCGAGTCGGACCCCGACATCTCTTTATCTGACCGGCGGCCCCCAAATCGATGGTGGCTGGGGGGTGGGGAGGGGGCAGGCTGAGATCTGCCCGTCATTCATGCTGGGATGAGAAAGGCAAGCTGGAAGGGGGGAGGGGGAGGGGGGAGGGGGGTGGACATGATGGCCATCCGGGGACCACCCATCTCCAGGGCGGGAGGAGAAGATTTCAGTCCCAGAGGCGCTTCCATCAGGCGCTTTGATAGAGAGCCACCATCAGGAGATCTGTTCAAAACCCACCAATCAAAGAAGCACACTTGGGACCGATTCACACTTACGACTAGAAGAGTTTTGATTCTACCATATTTCTTTTTGGCGGCCTTTTTTGTAGGGGAGAGGGGAACAAGGCGTGACCGAACACCGCCAAAAGACCAAGTGGCCCCAAAGTCCTGCAGGAGAAGGAGAAGCCAGTCCCCTTCTCTCTTTCCCCCCGCTCCCAGGACTGTGTTTTACATGCAACACAGTTGGTTTGATGTTGGCTTAGTGGGTTGGGTAACTCTGGGTTAGTCAGAGGGCTGAACCCAGTCAGGGCTCAGCACAATCTCTTTCTGGCAGTCAATTTGGAAGAAGCCCAAACAGTGCGAAGCGATAGACTGCTTCTGAAGCTGGAGGTTTCATTCCCGCGCCTGTTCCCATCAGAAGAACCTACTTGATTGGATGTTGGGAAGGCAAGAGTTGTCCTACACATCTCCATCACCCCCAACTAGCATCGCAAATGCTAAGGGGGTCTCTAAAATACTTTTGGCTGCAATGTAGCTGCCCTTCGCACAGGGTCAAAACCAGCCTAACACCATCCCTGCCCAGCTGAGGGCACGTTCTGGTCTTCTCCACCAGCCGGAGGGTACAAACATCACCCCAGTAAGCCAAGAGGGAGCTCTTCCTCCACTTTCTGTCAACTTACCTTGCACCATCAGGATACCTTGTGCCGTGCGGCGCACACGAGTGCCGGGACGGTTGGCAGCACAAACATAGACCCCAGCGTGCTTCACCGACACGTCTGAGATCATGAGATTGCCAGTTCCGAGAACCTGGATCCCTTCCACGCCAATGGAACGCCCATCTACGGGGAAGAAGACAATCTGGTGACCATAGGAGGGAGAAGTATCTCCTCGGCCTCTTCTCACACCTTCGGGTCCTCTTCTGACCTGCTCAGGAAATCCTTCCCCGCCCCATCATCCTCTTCCCCACCCCATGGAGGTCTTCTGCAGCATCCCCACTCACCCAAGCGACTCCAGGACACAATAGGGCGAGGATTCCCCGTAGCGATACATTCAAGAATGGCGGTCTGGTGTACCGTAATGGTCAGATTCTGCGGTCCTGACAAGATGACCGGCTCTTTAAAGACCTTGGGCACCGACACTGAAGAAAGAGTGGGGCGAGGAAGTTATGACCAGTACGCCTTCTCTTGGGATGAGAGGTCCAGAGCCTCTCCCCTCCCCGTGGATGAGAAACTGAGAGGATCTTTGTGACCACTTTGTGACAGTCGTTCTTCTCACCTGATTCCTATTGTGGAGTCTCTGAGCTTGGGGGTGGACTTGCAGACGTTTCATGACCCAACTAGGGAACATCATCAGGGCTAGTGAGTGTGGGGTTTGCCCCCTAGCTCCCTAGCTCACACTCACTAGCCCTGATGATGTTCCCCAGTTGGGTCATGAAACGTCTGCCAGCCCACCCCCAAGCTCAGAGAGCCCCAAGGACCCCACAGCTCAACCCTGAGCTACTGATCTTCTATTGGAACTGATTCATATTCCCCAGAAATGTGACCCATGGTTTCCAGCTCTGCTCTCACTTACTCTATGCCCCTTTCCAAACAAGCCACCAGTTCACCAGGTCATTCCACCCGCCGTGGCATGAGTTCCACACACCCTGCTCACCGCTGATGCTGAGGGTGGCCTCCTGGCTGTAGCGAGTGTTGGCAATGTTCCTCGCCACGCAACGGTAGGTGCCCACGTCAGAACGTCTCACGCCGGTGATCTGTAGGATGCCCGTGGGGAGAAGTGTAAATCTGAAGGAAACGGGAAGAGAGAAAGGCAAAACGACAAGATGATGTGTATGTGTATGTGTGGGTGTGGGTGTCTTCACATCTAGTGGCTGGTCCTTCCCCTATCAGGTCCAGCACCCTCTCCCTTTCCAGCAGATCTCCTTAAATATCCAAGTTTATTTAAAACATTGGGGTCCGTGTTACTGGCTCACGCATTGTGCAAACCGTGTTGTAGTAGATCTGCCTTCTTTTCCTCGCTCTGTTTCCATAGAATTTATTCTCTTCCTTCTCATGTTCTTTGCTTTGGCCCCAAGACGGAGCAACCCTGGGATTAAAATCACCCCGAGGGCTTCTAAAGGAAATGGGGCTCTCCAGAACAATTTGTCAGTATTCCAGCCACTTCCTTGACCGGATTACGATATTACTGGGCTAAATTCCAAGACCCTGGAAAGTCAATTCCTCCTGGGCAGAACTGGCACCGGGCAGTACCACAAAGACTATTGCTTCTGGATTCTAATATGATTGATGATGATGATGATGATGATGATGATGATGATGATGATGATTAACCAAGTTCAGCTCAACGCAAGGACTAAGTCTTCTGCTGATCCCATGAAATCCGGTGTGCCAACCCAAGGCTCGAACAAGCTTCTCGATCTTACGTTTTCCGTCTCGTGGTGGGTTTCGCACGTCTGCTGATTTATTTGGCAGAGTCA